GTGTTTTTGTCCTCACAGACATCTATGGTTTTTAGTGCTAGTACCTACCTAGGTCCTTAATGGAGGTTACTTTGCTCCCCCACATCCTCAACACAAAGGAATGACTCCTCCTTACCCGACTYTTAATCACGGGAAGCAATTACACCCTCTAAGTGCCCTGCAAAGCTGAATTGCATCCCTAGCAAAACAGGTTCATCCTAGTATGTGTCACTCACAACAAATACCGAGCACAATTCATTCATTATTTTTATATATAGACAGCAGCATAAASCCAGTGTGTCTATTGCACCTAAATGCCATCACAGCCAGAGAGATTTTTGATTTAAGGACCTCAATCTACAAGACCTTGAATCAGCTCCTATTCCATTGGGCTTCTCACACAATAAAGCTCTTGTACTTTAATGGCAGTCAAAACTATTCAGAAAATCCTGTGTAAATCTTAATATACACCTCCTTATATCTATTTGGGGGGTGAGTAGCAGGAAGGAGGAGAAAGGGGATGCAGAGATGTATGATGTCACCGTAAATTCTTCTGCCAAGCTAGCTGTCTCATCATACCAAATATATATATATAAAATAATCTATGTACATAAATATATATAAATGTGTGCATATATATATATACACATTATATATATATATATATACACACTATATGAATACAAGCCTCCCAACCGCACAGTTTCACAGTGCGGAGCTACACCTGCGCCTCAGGGCCGCGGCTCAAGCGCAAGACCGTGACCTACGGGCGTCCCGCGGCTCCCGGGTCCCAGAGCGGCGGCCCTCGCCCGCAGCCTGCCGGCTACCGCCAGGGTACACGCTGCGGCGCCTCTGTCGCGCTGCGGAGCACAAAACGGCGCCGCACGCCACGCAACGCCAACGGGCGGCAAAACGGCCCCGGCGGCGTCGCCCCGGCAAMGGCGGGGACCCGCCCCTCCCCCCGCCTCGGCTCACCTTCCCGCAGCAACGGTCACCGCCGACGGCGGCCCCCGAGGGCCAAACTGCGCCCGCCGCCGTCGCCCAGGCAACAGCGGCGCGGGGCCGTTGCCCTGGAGACGGGGCGGGGCCTCGCGGCCGTTGCCCGGGCACCCCCGCCCTTTGCCGCTAGGAGGTGGAAATTTAAAATAAAAGACCCCAAAATCAGTCATGGCCGCGCCCCCCGCTGCGGCGATCTGCACCAGAGCACCCGCATGTGCCCCAGATTTAAATCAATAGGAGTGCCTTTTTTTTTTTTTTTTTTTTTTTTTTTTTTTTTGCCTAGACATGTTTTGAGATCATTAAATTATGCATTTGTTTGGCGCCAGCAGCGCTTCATGTCGCGGCTGGCGTGTCAGCCACTGCTGTGTTGCATTATTCAGGCCCCGTTGATAATGAGCAGTCAGAGCAGGCTGGGGTTGATGAGCTCAAAGCTATGAGTGTCAAAACAGGCATTTTTATTCATAATATTTCCGCCCCCTCCCCCTCAGAAGACTTCCCCCCTCTCTGTATTAATCATGCCTCACATTCCAGCACTTTGAAACATATATATATGTATAAATATATAAAATATATAATAATAAAAAATTCACTAAAATAATCATTCTGGTTCAAGAAGCTGACATGTGCCAACTGATGTCAAATGGAAAGGCTCTATACTCACTATAGGAAGCAAGCAAGGGATACAAAGACCTGTAGGAAAAGAAGAAAAAAGAAAAAAAAATAATCCCCCACGGCTGCAAACACAGTACCTCTGTGCTGAAAAGAAGCTACACGACCAGTCATTCGGCCACGAAGCATAAGCCATTGAYCAGGGGCCTTCCTGCAAAGCGCAGCACACCTTATCAGCCACATTAAGCGGGAGCTGTTGTTGCTAAGCTCCTATCACGCCTGGTGAAGGGCAGAAAGATCTGCCACCTGCTTTTAAACAAAGCAGGACCGATATTTGAACAGCAGGTTAATCTCTCTGGCCACTTGTGAAAGGCTCCTAGCACACAAAAAATGCCATTTTCAGTGGGCAGATGCTGGCGGGCAGGAGGTTGCCCATCTTGTGGGACAGAGCGCCCACTGCACTGCAGCATTAACGTTAATGGAAGACAATATGGGCAGAAATCAACCCTTAGTAAGTTCAACCTGGGCACCGAAGCCTTCAAACTCTCCAAGCAGTGCGGCTGTAACTAACCTTTCCCTCGAAGGAGGAAGGGACCAATAACAAAACCCTTTCCAGTTACGTGGGACTCTGCGATGCAGCGGCCACTAACAGCTCCTGTGATCTGCTCTCTGTGACCTTGGGGTGTCTTCCAATCCTACAACGAGAAGGAGAAATGTTGTCTTGGGAGAGGTGGAAGGGCTCCCTTTGATAGGTACTCAAGGGAACCCAGCACCTGCTGGCAACATCTCCAGCCCAGAYCTCACCCAAGGTCATGTATTTATCACATGCTTAAAGACTAAACACAGAAATTCCGAATTCCTCAATCCCCCAGGCTTTGCCAACTTCAAAGCAGACTTTGATGCCGTCCTCGGTTCTCTTTATGCTGTGCTTTTCCTGTAAGATCATCTTCCATTGTACAAGCCACTACCATCCCTTTCATTCAAAAGGGGTGCTCTCTTCCACTTGTAATGAATCTCACTTCCTTTTGCAGCATGAGAAGTGGAGCTTGGTGCTGCAAGACCAAGCTATAGTGCTTGATAATTATAAGAATCTCCTTTCTAGGTAAGTCTAAATACATGACTGTTAATCTATTAAATGATAAACCTAGGATTTCAAATGTTCCTGCCTGTGAGAGGGAGTCACACACGATAGTTGTGGAGAAAAACAAAAAAAGACAAAAAAACCCACGACCATCACCTACCTGCCTTTCCCCCCTGACCAAGATCCTATAGCAAAGTTCAGGAGAGCAGTATAGCATCCTCGTGCAGTTTGCATGGGCCGGGCTGTAACACTCACCTGGAGCAGCCCGCAGCATCAGAGGGAGAYGCCGCTGCCACCTCTATCCCATTTCCATCACGCCAGGCCGTGCCGTATCGTTCCGCAGGAGCCGGGCGGCTCCCGGGGAGCTGCGCCTCCCTCCTCAGCGCTCACTGCCCGCGACGTGGAACGCGTGATGGGAGGAGCAGCTCCACAGCCCACGGGGACCTGCTTCTGCTCCTCTTCTCCTCTGGGATTCTCTGCACGGCCCCTCTCAGCAGCACTGCACAGATCAGACACTCGGCCAGTCTTGGATGGTATCGCTACACTCCTCCTAGCTGCCGCCTGCCTTCCTGCTTTGTAGAGGGATTTTAATTCTTGCATAGTCAAGGAGCCCATGGGTGGCAGCAGTGCTCAGCAGATCAGATAAGAGCCCCAAATCAAGAGCAATCCAACAGCTGGCAGAGGGAAGCATAACTGCCCTATTTTTGGTTTTCTGAGACGACAGTGGGATGCAGGGGAGAAATAATGGTGGATTTCTGATAATGGGGGGGGGGGGGGGGAAATGGAAAAGAGGTTGCCCATATTGCAACTTATTTTCTACAGTGGTTGATATTTACTATCAAGACACCGCGCCCTCCCAAAAAAAACCCTAACAACCCCCCCTTCTCTGTAGAAGCACAGAACCATGTGTTTTAGTTACCTGCCCCAGCAGCACTCCAGATTTGCAAGGTATCAAAAGAAAAACACTGGCCACAGAGGAAATCTCATAAAACATTTTTATTTAACAAAAAGCTATTCAATCAGAACCAAGTTGAAGGGGTCCTATGAACAATGCCAGTGTATTCACTAGACAGCTGATCACTCTGCATATAGATCCAGTGAGACTCTACAGTCAATTCATCACTACAGTAAAAGTGAAAAGGAAAAAAAAAAAAAAAAACCCACTAAACAACTTCCAGGTTTAGCTTCCATAAATTAATAGGCTTGCATACCTATAGTGTAGCACGCCACGCCACTTTACATTTGCCACAATTTCATGACATTGGTAGAAGCACCATTTTGTTATTGCTGTAATTCAGTAGTGTTTTCTTTTTAAACTCACTTTAAAAAAATGGGCTGTTTCTCCCACATTTGTTCTGTGTGAAAATACACGATTAAAACTGAGCTGCATCTTTTGCTTCCTTGACATAAGTGCCGTATACCCAATCCTCCCGCTTGTAGCAAATGCCATCTGGCCAAGACACCCAATGGGCAGGACACTCGTTATCCTTCTCCCTGGACAGCTTATTATCAGCTAGTGTTTCATTGCTTCAGATTTTTGTTTTAGTGGTAAAGAAAGGAATACATACATAAGTGGTTTCAAGTTTCTGTTTCAGAATAAGGCAGTTAAGCTTACGCGTATGAACATCAACAGAGCCCAGTCCCACGACAACTTTTACGAGCCAGGCTGCAAACACAGTGAGGTTTCGGGGTGCGYGTTTGCCTGAGCAGCCAGCCTGAAGGGACCCCCCGGACCCCATACAGCACATCCCAAAGTGATTAAACATCTATCTCATGCAGAAAAGCCTGAGACTCACACAGATGATAAAAACTACACGTGTCCCAGCCAGGCAAGAAATGACCTTCCCACCCAGGTGCTGTGAATCCACTATAGCTTTAAAGAAACCAAGTCAYAAACCAAAGCTGCTGCTTCAGGCTCTGACTGGAATAAACTCTAACCAGCAGACACACAGAGAAAGCACAGAGGAGAAGCACCCTGCTCAGCACCCTCTCCCTTGCCATTTCCCCTGCACACACAAACTCACCACGAGCTGCACAGCAGCAGTGACAGTCTGTAAGCCACCCACACTATACTATGGATATCTCTTGCCATACCGGTTATGGTGCCCAGGTAACCAGGCGTCAAAGCTCATGACAACTCCTTCCCAGTATTCAAGTCAATTAGGGAAAAAAAATATAATTCAATTACTCTAAAAACAGACATAAGACAAGACCCACATTGCTCCGATGGAAAATAAAGATTAAAAAATCCCAAACATCCATTTTTTTTCCTTAGGTGGGAAGAAGAGGTAGAGCTGGTGGATAGAGATCCACCAGAAGCATTGAGGCATTTTAAGAGGCAAAGAAGCAATAGAGCAAGAAATCAACGTTTTGGAAAACCTCAGGCATTCATCCCATTAATTACTACAATGACCAGTGTCTATTCAGTCAACATAGTCAAAATTCTCAAAGCTTAAGAAGAATAGCATAAAGTAAAATAGCTTTATGAAAAATAGCTTAAAATCCTGCATCTTCCCTCTCAGTGCTACATTCACATCCACCATATCTCACTGAAAYAGCCTCAGGCTTATGAAATTAGTAACTCCTACGACTGCTGGAACTTGCAGTCCCAAAGGACAAAGGAAGGACACCCAAGGGTCCTGCTGGGGACTGACATTTTGTCTAGTTAGACTCATATCAGTCTCCCCTCCAGCTTTACAGTCCCTTGGGTGCTGGCCTTCACAAGACAAGCAGCATTGCAGACAACCCATTCACCAGCATCACAAGTGACCTCAAGTTAAATTACCAGGAGAAKGTACCATGATCAAATCTGATAGAACTCAGGCTGGCAGGCAATGAAAGGACACATCCCTTATATGTGCACATGCAGATCCATAAGCGTATGTGTTGAAGTGTACTAACCCTCAGAAAGGTCTGCCTGACAGCATGGGGCAGGCACTGCAAAAGCCACACCACAGAGCGTGGACTTCAGGCCAGCGTCTGTCCCAGGCTGCAAGGGAGACAACAGCAGCAGCTGATCAGATAACAGGGACCCACCTTTCCCATGGTGCTCCTCAAAACATATGAGACAGACCAAAACCTCCCAAGCCTTTCACCTTTTGAAATGGTTTAGAGCTCTCTGCTGCACTTCCCCAACATGCAACAGAAGAACAAAAGGCATTTTAGAAAGAAGATATTTGTTCTTACTTACGTAAGAGCTAATATATATACATTCTAAAATGTGATACTAATATAGTATAAATACTGAACAAATACAATTAAGGTGACTGCCTTGGGAAGTAAAGGCAGAGATTAAAAACAAACCTATCGCTTGATATAGAGTTGCCAAGCATGTTCCCTTGGTGCACTAATGGCTTTCAGGAGATCTGCTTTGAACCTGCTCTCGTCTTCTGTAAGTCCTTATAATGCTGTAGATACCACTCCCCAGGAACAGCAGAGAGATCGCCGCAAAGTAAGAGGCATAAATCATGAACTGCAGAGTAAAGATAAGACAAACAAGAAAGTCTGCAATTAGAAACCAAAACCATCTCTACTGTTGTTACAGTCATCCTCATATGGAAGAAAACAGACAGCTCCCCCACAAGTTACGGGACTGCTGACTGAAATGCTGCTCCCAGGCTACTACCTGCCCATATTATCAAGTTCACCAGCACTGATTACTGATGTTAAGTAATCGTTCAGTTTCTAAATCCATGAACCTTGCACAGACCTACAGGATAATGGCATTTAGATATGACAGTTGAATAAAACTTCCCGCAGATCCCAGCTACAAATCAAATCCTGAAGCTGGTAATGCAAGCTGAGTAACCACCTCTGATTTCTCCAGATGACAAAAAAAATCAGAATGGCAGAACAAAACATACCAAATCTGTTAGAAGGTTAACATAAGAAAAATATCCCAAGTCAGTAAACCCCTCTCTGCCAGCAAACTCTTGACACAGAAACAACCCGGTGAGAAGCCTTACAGCTTGATTCACTTTCTTCCCTCCCCCGCCTTGGTAAAGATAAGAGAAGCTACCATACCTGGGTGAAGATGTCTAACCCGAGTCCACTAGCATCCACAACAATCAACGTGAGCAGGGTCTGAAGAGCTAAGGCAATGAAAGTGTTGACCCCAAACACCAGTGCGTACCGCTTCACACTAAGATTTGTGGCAATCTGGAACCTGGAAAGGGAGGACCAGAAACATACATGTGAAGAAGCAGCACAGAAATGCAGGAGTAGGAGGAACTTCTCTGGAGATGGCATCAGATGAGAAGCCTATGCACCCAGAGAGTTGCCTGGGCTAGTCCAGTATCTCCCATGACGAGACTGCCTCGCACTGACAGTGTACTTGGCCAAGCAGGACCATGGCAGACTACCACAGGGACCAGAAGACAGCTACAAGTACTCACAAAAGACTGTAAAAACTTGGTGGGTTGCAGTCTTACTGAAACAGTCTCCTTTCCTGGTGCAGGTGCAAAGGGCCAACTGACATGGCTACATGGTGGATGAGTGCAAACCCCAGGGAGCTGTTTGCAATCTTAAAGCCATCACATGGTCCATAAGCTCACACTTCCTCCTGACCAGAACCACCTGCGTAATTACAAGCTACAGCATCTCCCCTTACA